AATAACAGATATGATAAATGTTCAAAGAAAAAAGTATTAACTGGACCTGGTAGCAGAGACCTGTAATTCTAAAAGACAGAAGTGAAGAATCACAATTCCAAGCCCTGCTTGGAGCTCAAGTGAGTTCAAGGTCAACCTGGGAAATTTAGTGAGACCCTATATCAAAATAAAAATCAAAAAAAGGGCTGGATATATAGCTCAGTGGGTAAAGGCACTTGCCACTGAGCCTGATGACCTAATGGATGTTTAGGATTCGCGTGGTAGAAGGAGAGAACCAACTCTCAAAAGCTGTCCTCTGACCTCCAACACCCCCACACAAAATAATTTTAAAATATTTTATTTAAAAAATAGGGCCAGGGAGATGGTAAAAGTGCTTGCTATGCAAGTCTGATAACCTGAGTCTGATCCTTGGATCTCAAGGTGAAAGACAATAACTGACTCCTGAAAGTTGTTTGAACTCCACATGCGTGCCATGGCATGCGCAAGCACACATTCACATGCAAACACACAATAATAATAAATAAAACTAAAATTAGGGGGCTGGAGAGAAGGCTCAGTGATTAAGACTGTTCTTGCTGAGGACCCTGGTTCAGTTTCCAGTACCCACATGGAGGCTAAGAACTGTCCATAACTCCAGTTCCAGGGGATCCAGCATTCTTGTTTGACCTGCGGGAGCATTGCATTACGTGGGTGCACTTACCTGCATGCAGGCAATGCACTCATATATGTAAGATAAAAAAATTTAAAGTATTTTATTTATTATTATTTTTTTTTTGGTCTTTTTGAGACAGGGTCTCCCTGTAGCCCCAGCTGGCCCAGAACTCACTGTGTAAACCAGGCAGGCCTTGAACTCACAGAGATCCGCCTGCCTGTGCCTCCCAAGTGCTGGGACTTCAGGTGTGCACCACCACACCCGGGTTATTTATTGTTATTTTATTTTATGTGTATGGGTATATTGCTTGCATGTATATAAATACACCCCTGTCATGCAATGTCCAGACAGAGGCCAGAAGAGAGCATCAGATCCCCCTCCCCCAGAATTCGAGTTAGGGACAGCTGTTATCCGCCATGTAGGTGCTGGGAATTGAACCTGGTTCCTCTGCAAGAGCAGCCAATGCTCTTAACTGCCGAGCTATTTCTCCAGCCCCTCATTTGCTCCTCTTGGAAAGGACCTGGGTTCAGTTCCCAGCACCCACATGGTGGCTGACAACCATCTGTTACTCCAATTCCAGGGTTTCTGATGCCCTCTTCTGGCCTCCACAGACACCAGGCAGGCACACATGAGGCACACATACATATATGTAGGCAAAGCACCTATACACATAAAATAAAACTGAATCTTTAAAAATAATGAAAATAAAGCCAGACATGGTGGTGCATGCTTTAATCCCAGCACTTAGGAGGCAGAGGCAGGCGAATCTCTGTGAGTTCAAGGCCAGCTGAACCTACAGAGAGTCCCTGTCTCAAAAAGACCAAAAAAATTGGGAGCTTGTATGTAATCTTTAAAAGATTTTAGGGTTATCTCTTCAGAGGGGGGAATATTAGAGTAGCCAAGAGCCTCATTTAAAAATAAAAAAAAAAAAAAAAAAAAGAAAGAAAAAAAGAAAAAGAAAAAGTAAAAAGAGAGTTGGGGATATAGCTCAAGGGTAGAGTGCCTGCCTGGAATCTACCAGTGAGGGGCTGGAGGTGTGGCTCAGTGGTAGAGGGCTGGCCTGGCATGCAGGAAGCCATAGGTTCAACCCCTAGCACTCCCTAGCTGATGGGTGTGATTGGCTTTTGAGAAAGAAGAGAGGTAGGATGCTGGATTTTGCTTACAACACAATCCATTTTCTTCAAGGTGGCCTACAAGGCCCTATAGAACCTGAGTCCTTGCTCTTTCCAGCCCTGCCTCCTCTCTCTCTCTCTCTCTCTCTCTCTCTCTCTCTCTCTCTCTCTCTCTCTTTCTGTGCTGGTACCCTCAGGGTCCAGAAGAGGGTGTCAGATCCCCTGGAGGTGCTGACCTGTGTGCTGGGAATTCAACTTAGGCCTCCTGGAAGAGCATCAAGCACTCTTAACTGCTGAACCATCCTTCTAGGCCTACACTAGATTTCTTCCTGAGCTTTGACTAAGCTAAGTTTTTTACTCCCAGGCCCTTTGTACTTCATGAATGCTGTGTCTAACCAGCCTAGACAATTCAGGGCTGGCAGGTTCCCAGGTCTCAGTTCAAATGTCACCCCTCAGAGAAGCCTCTCTGTCTTCAATCTATGTTATTTTCTTTATAACTGACTCTTGCAGATAATCTTTTCCATTACTTTCATGTTTATCTCTGCTAGAATGTCAACATTTATTTTGAGACAGATTCTCATTGTGTAGCTCAGGATGACTTTGAGCTTTTGATCTTCCTGCCTCAGTCTCTTCTGTACCTAGAATTACAGTCTTGTGCCATCAAGCCTGGCTTGGAATGCCAACTTCTTTTTAAATTTCATTTATTTATTTACTTATTTATATGAGTGTCATGCCTGTATGTGTGTAAGTGCATCCGTGTTGTGCAGTACCTACACAGAGGACAGAAGAGGGCAACAGATCCCCTAGAATTGGAGTTATGGACAGTCGTTAGCTGCAACGTGAGTGCTGGGATTGTAAAGTGTCTTTGTGTATGTGTGAGTACTTGTCCACAGGGGCCAGAAGAGGGCGTCGAATCTCCTGGAGCTGGAGTAACAGGCAGTTGTGAGTCACCTGATGTGGGTGCTGGGAACCGAACTTGGGTCTTCCGGAAGAGCGGTAATGCTCTTGATCTCTGAGCCAACTCTCAAGGCTCAGCTACTTCGGATCACTGTTATATTCTCAGTGCCTAAGTGAGTGCTGGCACATAGGCAATCAAGGAACAAAGACACTGATTAACCTCTGTTCTGTTTGGGAATGCTTTACAAGTTAGAGCCACTCAGACAAGCAGGTTGAGAAAAATACTAAAAAATACCCAAGGGGTGATCCACAAACCTTGTGTGTAGGGGGAGATGCGCCCAGAAACCGGGGCTCACCGCAGGTGCCTGGATGGTGGAGGGAGCCCCAGCTGGGAATCAAGCACTCCCAGAGTGAGGAGGAGGATGCTCTGGGGGACGCCCAGCTCCGCCCTGTATCCCCAGCAACCAATGGGCTGGTGGTCCTCCCGACGCCCCCTGGGACGTGTAGTCCCTGTAGGGGCGCCCTCGGGCGCCGCCGCACACCCCTAGACTCCACGTCCCGTCGTGCGCTGGGAGGCGCGGGGATTGGCTGAGCCCCGCCCCCGGCCCGCCCCGCTCGGCTCGCGCCGCAGCCCCAAGAATGAATGAAATCGTAGCGCGCTGGGCGGCAGAGCGGGCGGCGCAGGCCGGGCTGGGCCCGCGCGCGGCGGGAGCGGCGCCTCGGGCCGGAGGCGGCCCAGTCGAGCGGGCCATGGCTACCGCCATTCAGAACCCGCTCAAGTCG